TATATAATTAACTTGTTTGGTTAATCTAAATGTAAAATTATTTGGCTTATTGAGGCATTTATCATAACTCTTATTGCTTGAAATGCTTTTTTTCTTTTTAAAATGTATAAGTATAGCGCCCTGAACATAAACCATCCCTCTCAGACAATTTGTGACCTTATTGTGATTAGGATCGTATATTAGGACCATATATAGCTATAGATATTAGCAATATTGGAAACTGAACTGAACTGTTACCATTCCAGAGCATACTCTGAAAACTCTTTATTGATTCATTTTTACTGAGTCCCTGACAACGGTTTTGTTCCTCAAGTGTCCCTTTATAAAGAAGTAAATTACAACCTCCTCGAAAGAGTTCTGAATTACTTGTGTGGGTACCTTCCGCTGCTTCAGCTGTACATTCGTGCTTCACTTTCCGTGGCTGGATGGCTACTTTGGCCAACGTTAACAAATTGCTGTATGTTAAATTACTGAATTGCATACGAACCACTGATATCTGTCATCGCTTTAAGAATCTGTACAACTGCTGCCCTAAAACAGAAGTGTTACGCAATTAACTTACGGCAATGGTAGCATAGTACCTGAAAAAATAACATAGATGTTGCTTTTCTGTGTTAGACTCACAGTCTGGTTTATCCATATTTATGTTTTAGAGAAACATACTGTTCATCCCATAAGAACAGAAATGCTTTTCATCCACGCGTCATTTGTCTGTCCATCAAACTTCCATCGACTGCTGGATACGTGCACATTCTGCACCAGCAGCTGCCTTCCAGAAGTCAGTTTCCCTGTGCACCCAGGGGCACTGCATCTGCTCCTGGCCGAAGTGCCTGTGTCCGCAGAGGGGCAGGCGAGGGTTTGTCTGAGTGAGTGAGAGTGAGTGTGTGTGTGTGTGTGTGTGTGACTTGTTCTACTGCTTTGGTTCCTTTGCTCCCAGAGTGGTCCGTTTGCTTCTTTCTAGTTTTTCACTCTCCTCCAAGCTGATGAATTACCATGTTAACAATGGATAATTTCCCTTACTTGTAACTTTTATGTCTTTTAAATTTGTTCTCCTTGGCATTAGGGCAGCTACCATCTCAATGAACTATCTTTCCTTGGTCATTGCAAATTATTTCAGTTTTTATGACATGAGGATATGATCTCAACATTGCAAGTTTTTGTTCTTCAGTTGCACCTCATTGAGGGGAAGCTGATGTGATCAGTCAGTAGTCTCCTTCATAGGCATCCCTCGTCGCAGTGTACTGTATCAGGGAGTGTTGCTTAGCCCCGTAGTCAAAGTGGCATTTCAGGTGCCCACAATACTGCTCAAATACAGACTGACTTCCTTTCAAGCCCTTGCTGGGTAGTGCAAAGTAGGGCTAGGAGTTTCTCAGTATGGGGGAAAGAAGAAAAGAAACCTTCCCCTTATCTGTCTTTCTGTCCCAAACACACACACACACATGTATATTTTACAGTTCAGAGGTGTCCAGCCTTTTAGCATCTCTGCACCACACTGGAAGAAGAGTTGTTTTGGGCCACACATTAAATACATTGCGATATGTAATGATAAAAAAAAATCTCATAATGTTTTAAGTAAATTTACGATTTCGTCTTGGGCCTCATTCACAGCCATCCTGGGCTGCATGTGGCCCGCGGGCCGTGGGTGGGACACCCCTGTTTACTAATGATGATATTGGTATTTTTATTTGCCACTGGGCTGTGTTATTAGTGTCTAGCAGATGCCCACTTCTTCTGTACGTAGTATTACTTAATAAAGCTATAGACACATAGTAAGTCTCTAAAGAGTAATTGATTGGGCCTCGGGTAATTGATTTAAAGTGAAATTTCTATGTGTCTCCTGGCTTTGATTTGTGATAAGGAAGCCTGTGTTCAGTTCAGCACACTAGAACAGAATTTTTAAACTAGTTATTCAGACTTAATTCAGTTGTTCTTTCTTTTCCCTTGATGTGGGTTTAGTTAGGGGATGGAGTGGGCATTGTGGCTCCTCCCACTCAAAAGATTCTTTTCAGGTTTGAACAAAATCAGAAAAACACTGATATTGACATATACCAAAGTTTGTGATGTCAATCCAGGTCTTTCCTTTCGAATTCTAGTGTAAAGCAAAATAAAATGTAATGTTAAAAAGTAATAATCCAGCTTGAAAAACATGGTGTATTCATGAAGGGAACTTATTAGAATTGAGTTATTTAAAATCCGACTTTGTAATGACAAAAACTATACATGATAAATGCGTAGTACAAGATTAGGATACAAAATAATAATTTGTACCCTGAATAATGTATTTCAGGCAACTGACAAAAGTAGAAACAAAACTTTTGTTCAGGCAACTAATAAAAGTATCCCCTCACACATTGGTGTCTTCAGACTGCATTAAAGAGTTTTACAGTTAATGCTTTGGAAGGTTTCTGTATATTTTAAGATAAAATACATACATATCTATTAGGAAACTAATATTAGAATTTTTTTTAAATGATATACTTCCTTAATTGGCCAAATTTCAGCTTCTATATCTTCGGGGTCCTTGGATTGTGAGTGTGAGGTGTTCTGTGGTTTTGCGTTTTAGAAAAAACATCAAGGCAGTGAAATTTTTTTACATGGCTCAGTGCTTCTGACTCCAGGAAGCTGAGTCTTATTCTATAGCATAGATCATGATAATTATTAATGTGTAATAGGTGAGCATAGCTTGATACCTATTAGCGGATATTTCAACACGTGTCCTTGCCTGCAGGGTCTTGAGAGTGTGTTGGTTTAGTTCTGCGTCTCTCTCCTTTTAGGTTTTAGTCTGGCCCCATCAGACCCAGGCTGCAGTGAGGACCCCTTTCGTTGGCCAAGCCTGTGGCTGCTGCTCCGCTCCCCGGGCCCTCCTGGGGGGGCGGCAGCTCTCCTGCTGTGGCTGCTAGAGCTCCTCCTCCTTCTCCTTCCAGTGACTGCATCGTCCGTCTCTGATATTGGAATCGTCTACACTCGTGAAAATTCAAGGAGCCGTGGATAGCTGATAAACACCCCCAGTCGACTTTCTAGAGGTTCTTGGTATACAGTCTAAGTGTTTCAGTGCCTTCAAGGCCTGACCTAAGCTTTTCTGTGTGCCCATCTTAAACTGCTGAGGGAAAATAAGAAGTCATGAAAGTCTCACTGGTGTGTGTCAAGTTATTTGATTTATAACGTCATTCTTGTGGAACCAGCTCTTGAGAGGTCGCATGACCTTTTCCTGTTGGATGGCTAGGAGTCCGTTCCCACTTTGCAGGAGTAAAACAGTAGGGTCTCCAGGTGTGGCATTCGTGCTGCCTCCTGCCTTGCTGTCCAGGGGTTAGCAGGTCAGCTTAAACCTCTTGTTTTTATTTTCTTCATCTCCAAAATGTTACAGTGGGACCGGAGAGATGATTTCTTGGGTTCTCTTTAGCTATAATTTTTCCTGTGGATCGTACTGATTCTGTAAAGATAACTTTAAGGTGGACAGTGACCTGTTAATATCTCTTGTTCTGCTATTTCTGTTTGCCTTTGTATTTCTGCTCCCGTTCATCGGAGTGATGATTACTGTTGTCAGTCCCTAAATGAAGACATGTCCCATTGTCATCTATGGTATTTTTGGCAATGAGATGCCACACTCCCCCACCCCTTTGCTAGTTTACATCTTCATTCCTAAAGCAACTTATTTAAACATTCATCGAACACTCATTGTGTAGCAGACTGGTGTCAGGCAGGGGAAACAGTAATGACTGAAACATAATTCCTGTCCTCGGGGAACTGTCACAAAGGTGAGTTTTGCTTTGGTGACAATCTAATGCCCTCAGCCCTGGTCCCACTCCTGTGTGCTCTGGCACGTCCTCCTGTCTTCTCTGTCGGGAGTGTTAGCCTGAGACGAGTACACTTCTCTGTGCCCTGGCTTGGTGGGGACAGTAAATTCCAGTGTTCTTTTAGGATAAGGAAAGGACACATCGATGATCTTGTAAAGATGACATACACATCTTTTAGGGCATAATGCATTTCCGAATGATGGGAAGTTAATTTTTTCATTGGTCTCTACATTGTAGGGCAGTCATCAAGGAAAAAAGCACAGGTTGAGCTTGATACATTTCAAGGGACCTTGAAGTTACAGAAGAACCTTTAAATCTACTGGGAATGGTTGTTGGAGTAATTTAAGAGGCAGAATGGGTGTTTTGTATCCTTGAAAACTCTTTGAATGGCAACTTTATGTGGTAGATTATGTGTAACTTTGCCTCCCTCAGCCAGTTGTCGGAGGCCACACGCTGCTTTAGTCCTGAGTTAAGAAGTCTGCAGTCCCGTTGCACTCTGGTTTCACATGCCGTTCCCCGTGTCAGACCTTGAAGAAAAGGTTTCATTTAAAAAATATCATTTCTTTAGTCATCTAAGTTCACTGGTGCCACCAAGCTGGCACTTTTAGTGGCTTTATACCTATAAATATATTTCAGTGTTTCTCACGAGGTAAGGTGTCTGCTGTAAAAGAGGCAAAGAACTCACCCATTCACTTCATTCTGTCCAAAAATAATCCAAGGGACAGATATGTAGTTTTATAGACGAATGTGTAGTTTTGTCATCAGTTTAATGCTGCTACTGGTTTCCCCATTTGTGCAAGTAAATGTGGGAGGTCTGCTTGCAGAAACTCAGTGTTTCTTACAACTAGTGTTAATTTAAAGTAATTTCACTGTGAATGTGTTCTATAATTCTTGGTCCAGAGTTCTCGTGTTATTAATCTTGAATTTCATTACAGCAGCGCATTTCGAAAGACGGTTCACGTAGTCTAACCTGTAGTTTTCTGGGGGAAACGACTCACCATCAGACCATCGTTCCGCTGCTCTGACACCATTCCTGAGCTGTCTCCTCATGGGACGTAAAAAAGATAATGGCAGTGATCCTGATTGATCGAGGATAATGCAGACATAATAGATGTCTCTACTGATACCTTATCTTTTACAGCTTCCGAGCTGTCGTAAGGTTGGCATCATCACTCATTCTCACCTCCTTTCTTCTGCAACACGCAGGGATGTGAGCTCATTTCCACGCCCGACCAAGACGACACCGACTTCACCAAGTGCCTCCAGGTGCTCCAGACGAAGATAGAGCAGAAAGGCCGGCAGGTATGTGACAGGCCCCTGCTTGGTGGATAGAGTCCTACTGCCAAGTCTGTTAAAGATCCTGCTTAAAGGTTTTCCTCCTCTGAAACTTTATTTACTTTTTAAAAGGAAAGATCTTTTACTTTTGTGCCGGTTTTTAGATCCCCCCGTCAGGGTTTCTCGGCGTGTTGAGTAAATCTGCACCTAGCTGCCAGAGGTCAGGGCTGCCAGCTGCACAGGGCCGAGGCCCCGGGGGTGGGGGTGGGGGGGTGGGGGGGGAGGGGCCTTGTATGAAGCTGTCGGAGCCAGCAGCTCACGTCTGGTTTAAAGGGAGAAGCTGCTTTCCGTCTCTGGCTGCTGGTTGCCCTCCGGAGCTGGGCGTCTCTTTTTCTTCACATGTTTAAACTTTGTGTGGGCAAAACAGACAAACACGGCCTAGGTTTGGCCCGTGGTCATCACTGCAAAAACTTACAGAAACCAAGGAAATAGCGACCTTTTTTAAATCAGTTCAGAGTCTGCCGCTTTTCATTGGTGGGCTCTCAAAGGCATTCAGCAATGCCTTTCACCTAGTGTTTAACCCCAGTAATTAGCTAACACACACCACTTCATATTATACTTTACGGTCTTCCGTGGTGCTTGTTGAAATGGTACGCAGAACTTTTACAGTCCGTGCTCAGCGAGCATCAGCAACACAAAGTGTGAAGCCATGACTAGGAATTGACCTACCTTCCCGGCAGGGACCGGAAGGTAAGCAGAGGCGCACGATCAAGTGTGTAATTTAAACGTAGAAAACCAGGAAAGCACCCTGGGGCGTCAGGACACTCTGACAGGAGGGACAGGGACGCCTCTGAGCCCGGCCTCAGGGGTCCGACAGGCCAGTCTGTCTGCAGACAAAGCCCGGCCCCACCTCCCGTCTGCGTCCTTCGTGGTCTTGGCGCTGCCGCTGTGGAGGCCTGCTGTCCGGCCGTTTCTCCCGTCGGCTCCACCAGCCACCTGTAGCAACACTTTATTTACCCCTTCCCGTCCCGGGGGAGGAAGGGGCTGAGACATCCTTTGGCCACTCTAGGATTTGGCAAAGGAGGACAAGAGGAGATCTGGCTGTCTCAGGCTGGAGCTCCATCCACAAGTCACATGCTCAGGCGGCGTGGCTGACACACCTGTGGCCGGGTGGGACAGGTGCTGGAGAGGCAGCCCCGGCAGATACCCGCTCCCTTGCAAAGGTTCTTAGGAGATGTGTTCTGGCAGGTGGTTACCGGGTTGATGCGGTGAATCCCCTTCGCCCTCTGAAGAAAAGCCTTGGTAACTGTCGTAAATGGCACGCAGCTCATTGGGCCCAGTCAGCGAAAGTGATTGGGCGAACATTCTCATCTCTGTTGTAGCTTGAACTATACCAAATGTATTGTGCTATGTCCAGCAGTAAGTTGCTATAATTAAATATTTGTTTAAGGCAAAGAGAACACAGCTCATCGCGAGTTATTTGCTTCATCCAGATATAGCTGATTTTTTTAGTTTCTTAGGAAAACAAAAATTGTAAATCTTCACAACAGTTTCAGTTTCCCCAGAGCTACCACCGAAGTTTTTGAAAGCTGGGAATGCAATTATGTGAGTCTTATGTGTGGTGTTTAATTGATAGTATCCTGTGCTCAGGCATCGGCTCTGAGAACAAATAGGCGTATCTCAAACTGAAGCAGACCAGACTCCAGAGGGAGGCTGGGGGGGGAGGAGGGTAGTCAGGGGTCTGTGATCTGCCAAACAAGCCCAACAAGGCTGTGGCCAGTCTAGTGGGGAGGGCTGGAGCCAGAGGAGCTGTTGGAGGGCGCCTGCGTTGGACAGAAGGGGCCAGACTCCCACTGTGCTTAGCCATGGAGTGGAGGCAGCCTGGGGGGCGTGTGGCCTTGGTGGCGTGCTTCGCTGCATCCTGAGGGGTCACGGCAGCCAGCTGTCCCCACAGCCCAGCGGCGGGTTCTCCCGGGGGACACAGAGTGGCGCACCCCCGAGGCTGCCATAGGCCTCCGCGGGCTTGGGGCCCAGTGCGTTCTCCAGCCTCGTCTGGTGCAGCTCTTTCTCTGTTTGCCTAAAATGGGCCGTATTCTCTCTCCTGCCCTGCCTTACAGTGTTTTTGCCCCTGTTTCCCCGCTGCTGAGAATTCGTATTTTTTTTTTTTTGTATTTTTCTTTGTCTTTGCCTAGACCGCGATGGCGGACGGAGTCCACCTGACAGGCTTCAGGCGGGTGTTCCTCCACCCCACCCTGGGTTCGGTCCTCCCGCTGGGCATCCCTGTGCGCCCCTCTTTTCCTGCAAGGCCCTTGGGACCTTTCTAATGACGCCGCTAGTGACTTCTCATCGTGTCTTGAAGCCTTTCCTTCCAGCTGGAGCGCACAGCCCTTGATGCCGCGTCGGGTTTGTCTGGTTCACAGCTGCACAGCAGCACTTGGCGTGTACGAGGTGTTTGTTCTGGGGATGCTGGGTCCGTGTCAGCACCCTGGGGACCTGCGGGACGGGAGAACGCAACACAGTCATGGATCGGCTGTTGAGAGAAACTGAGATGTAGCAGACACACAGCGGCGAGAGGGCAATAGGGAGACGCGTGTCCGGGGAGCACCGCCATGCACGCAGGATGGAGAGCGCGGCCGGAAGACAGCGGCTGGCGTTGGGAGGGTGAGAGATGGAGAACGAACAGTGCGATGAGTTTGGTGCTTAAAAAGTGTAGTTACATAAACTGGACGGCGCATTCCTCACAGGGAAAACCTTCCCAGGAAGCTCCCATTCAGATTTGTATTAAATGTGACCAAAGAGAGTGTCTTGAGCCTCCAATGGATTTACCATTTAACCTGGAAGTACCAGATTGCAGCTGATTTCAGGTAATAGTGGAGAGAAGCATGGTTAGAAAGAGTAGAAGGGGACTAAGACCAGATTTCCCTCCGCACACCCTCCGCCCTCAGATGAGAGCACCTTGAGGGCGTTTAAAAACGTGTTCCTGTGCGCTGTGTCCACATACCCTTCACCTCATCCAGGCGCTAATTCTGAGCAAATCACTGCATTTCTGCTCTTCCACTTACGTTGTAAGTAGGAATTGTAATCACAGCATCTATGTTTTACAGTAAAATCTGATCTGGTTAGCATATTCTTTACAGTATTAATTATAACACGTAAATTGAAGTAGCATTTAATATGTTAAGTAACTATACAGTGCAACATATTAGACATTCATACAATTTGGATTAGGACCTGTTCTCATCCTAGAGGAGTTTACTCTCCAGCACACAGCATTATTAAAAAAAAAAAAATTTCCAGCCCTGGCTGGCGTAGCTCAGTGGGTTGAGCGCGGGCTGCAAACCAAAGTGTCGCAGGTTCGATTCCCAGTCAGGGCACATGCCTGGGTTGCAGGCCACGGCCCCCAGCAACCGCACATTGATGTTTCTCTCTCTCTCTCTCTCTCTTTCTCCCTCCCTTCCCTCTCTAAAAATAAATAAATAAAATCTTTAAAAAAATTTCCCTAAATTTATTTATTTATTTATGCATCTGTTTTAAGCCTGCTCACCCCCAGTTTTGACTCCTCTGCACGAAGGCTCTCTGCCACACGTGGCATTGCGGTGCTGTGTTTTCATGTTGCCTCCCTGTCTTCCGATGCCGTGATGCACACCTGAGATCTAAACCCCGGGGTTCGGTGGGGAAGTTAAAGGCCATTTTTCCAGGCTTTTTTAAAATGTAAGGTGTATATTGTCTAGGATGAAGCAGAAATAAATCTAGATTATAAGATGCTAAAAATGTGTCTATTTCCTTTGCCAAATTAGGGAAGTTTTCTTTCATCATTTTTTCAAATACACTTTCAGTTTCTTGCTCTTCTTCCCCTCCTTACGGCACCACTACGATTCAGATGTTGGTGCGTTTGGAGATGTCCCGGAGGCACCCAATACTATCCTCGTTTTTTTTGAAGTCTTTTTTTCTTCTTGCCATTCTGCTTGCTGGCTGGATGCTTATTTCTTCCTTGTGTTCCAACAGGTTGATTTGAATCCTGTCTTCACCTCAACCACTGTTGGTTCCCTGTAGATTTTTCTTTATTTCACTTAGTATAACCCTCATTCATTCTTAGGACTTTTTTATGCTGTTGCTGTACTCAGTGAGTTCTTTGAGCATCTTGATAACCAGTGTTTTGAACTCCCTATTTGGTAGGTTGGTTATCTTCATTTTGTTTCATTCTTTTTCTGGGGTTTTGTTCTGTTCTTTCATTTGGGCCATGTTTCTTTGTCTCCACAATTTGGCAGCCTCCCTGTGGTTGTTTCTGTGTATCAGGTGGAGCTGCTTTGACTCCCTGTCTTAGTAGCGTGGCCTGTTGTAGAACAGGCACCTGTAAATTATATGGGGAGGAGCCTTAGGTAATCGCCAGGGTGGGGCAACCTGCTTTATAGCTTTGTGGCTCATTGCGCAGGGTCAGCGTGCGGGCGGGTTGTGGGGGTCGGGTAGGGCTTGGAGAGGGACAGTGCCACTGCCTGGCTTCTGGAGGTTGTCCCGGCACCTGCCTCGTGTGACTGGTAGCCTTGCAGCTCTTGCCCTCGTGCTGAATCCCAGAGAGGGTGGGTCTGCACAAGTTCTCAGTCCGTGCAGGCCCTCTAAGCAGAGTCTCCTGAAAACCCAGCCGTTTCTTCCGCCACCCCAAGCCCCACTGGTTTTACAGCCGGAAGTTACGGGGACTTACCTCCCCGGGGCTGGGAGCCCTTGCCCCTGAGGTGTCCCTCCCGACTTTCACCCACCGCATGTGCGTGTGGGACCCCCTGTTCCGCCGCCTCCTCGCGCCATCCCACACCTCCATGGCTCCGCCCCCCGGCCCACCTGGATGAAGGGGGCTTCTTTAAATCCTTGGTTGTGATATTTTCTGTAGTTATCTGAGGAGGTGAAGCGTGTTTACCTACGTCTCCACCTGGAACAGAAGTCTGTTTCTTTTTCTTCTCTGATTGGGGGGGCCCCCGTGTCGATCTTAGTTGTGACAAGGGTACCCCAGTTACTTACACTGTCGACATTGGTGG